ATATTAGAGGTTAAGAAACAAACATTTCCATCCTATCAGGTTTTCTCCTCCTGTCTTTCAATTAAAAGGTCTGTCAAATCCACCCGCGCAAATTCTTCTCTAGAATATTTTGCAGTGCCCAGGCATTTTATTATGTCTCATTACTTCAAAATTGATAGCCAGAGCCTCAATTTGTTTAAATTGGTAAAGCAACATTTAAGCCAATGAAACTATGCCAACTCACATCAGTCCAGAATCTATTTGGCTCCTTTTACTATTAACATGCCAGCAACATAGTGTGATTTTGTGTTTTATAATGTCTTCCTGCTGCAAAACAAAACCTCTTGAAAGAACTTCATTCACTCATTCATTCACTTTTATCCACCAGAATTGCCTAAAGTGGTCTTAAAGATGCAAACAATACCTATCCACAGTATAAACTCTAGGCAACAGTATTCTTCTAGGCTCTGCTGAATTCTTTTCAAATTTCAGGGTTATGTTTGCACATGCCCTTTCTTAGAACAGCTGATTCTGCCTCCCACAGTCTTCCAAGTAAATTAAAAATGAACAACTAGCACTAAAAGATGACAGGTAAGTTTTGCAACATTTCAAGTCTTTCAAGTTTCATTCTTTTCTAACCGTAATTACTGTCCTTCTCCTGGGAAGGATGGCTTGATTCTTTTGAAGAAGTACCTCTCAGATTTTGATAGCCCATGGGTAAAAATACTGGGCATGTATAAGGCTGTGCATGCCATCATGGTTGGCTCCCCTGTTTGACTTCTGCTTTGATTATTTTAATTCACTGTGCTTGCAAGCACTATGAATACTTGAAGTCTATCTTATGTCTGCTCTCCCCTTCTTTTATTTATCATATGTAAGAAGTGTGAAATCTCAAAGGCAAGATCTAAAGTTGGAATCAGAGAGAATATTTTGACTTCCTGTATCTTTTAAGTAGAAAGATCTGAGCTTCTCAATACATTGCTAAGGGATGAATTTATATAAAAGTCCTTAAACCACCTTTTTATGTATTTTTGAAGAGTCAGCACAATTGAGAATTTGTTCAGAGTCAAAATAAGGCACCAAATGCTACAGGGCTTTACACATACTATGATGCTATTACATCAAAACAGTAACACAGTACAAGAAGTAACAACAAAATAATGAAATTGTATTTTACTGTTGTCTTGAGGCTTATTTCACAGTTACTTCAGTTAAGTTCACAGTTAAGCTCCTTCCTAAACTTATGGCAATTCCGGACCGGAGGGACAGGTGTGACCATATTAGGCGCACCTCTACTGCTGCTATTTGGTGGTGCCTCCAAGGTCCATCAAGGCTCTGGGCATTGCTGTGCTAGCATTGTTCAAATATATATCATAAGGTGATGCCTGCGCTTCCATTTCACGCACCTTCTAATTCCAGAATAGCCCCTTTAACACATGTTGAAGAGATCTCCTAGTGCAAAAGCAAGGAAGTGGAGGACTTTAATGAATTAGCATTTGACCCACACTGAATCTTACATCCTTCCTTTCAAAGGACCAAATTGGTGTGAATCAGATTTCTTTATCCAGAAAAATCTCATTAATACAGAAATACTGCCACATTGACGTGCATCCCCAGAGAGATGAAATTATCATAATTATGTCTACTCTGCATAGTGCTCTAGCTATGTCAGCCCAACCAAAAATGTGTCTTATGCAGCCAAGGAAGCTATTTTTAGATCTGAAATTGTATCCAGGTTAGAACTGGATTAGTAACAGCACATTGCCTAACCTTTGAGGCGGAAGCTCTGGGCTGAGCCATTGCAAAGGTTCCCAGCTGGGAATCATGCCCTCAGTGAAACATAATGCTGTAGATTAAATGGTGGTTTCTTGGCTGTGAATATTCACATATTTATAGATGGAAAGTATTGTAAGTTGAAATGAATTCACTTCCCTGGCAATACTGCCAAGTAATTGGTTCAGAAAGTAACTCATAGAGTACAAAGAAAAATGCAGAATTTCTCTTCAGAGGGAGTATTTCCTCCTTTTTTGGGAGCATTGCTAGATTCTAAGATACTACAAAACATTTCTTGGTGTATCCGTTCATACTTACTATGGTGTTGTGAACATAACATATGGCATGATATATACTATTTTATATTATTTATTTCTGTTTATATTTATAGTGGCAATAATTTCCTGCCACCACTTGCATTTACCATGATCTCATGATACAAGATCTAGCAGTTAGGAAGCACAAGTTTCTTTCCTATTTTTCTGTCCTGAACGTGTGACTTCAAGAAAAGTAATTTGATTACTCACTACCTTACTTTTTCCATCTTCAAAACCTGAAGAATAACTTGAGCTACCTAATTCCTGTTGTTTACTTTTTCTTGAACTAGACTGAAGAAATTTTGTATATTTGGGAATATCCTCATTTTGCTTAATAAAATCTTGGAGTCTCAAAACCTGGATTGGCAGGAAAAAAACAAAGAAATGGATGACAAATTCACATGGTGAAAACATGTTCATTCACCCATAATCTCCCAGAAGGGACAATCACAAATCATTTTGTTGTTCTTCTGAAAAAGGCACCAAATGCAATGACATACTTGGGGTAGACAAATAAATGCTGCACTGAGCATCATCAGAACTTTTCATTAGGGCACTGATTTCAGTTCTGTTAAGGCAGTTGTTTTATAGCTTATCCATGAGATAAAAGTATCAAAATGTTCACAGCCAAAAACTTCACATGATCACACTGAAGAAAAGGAAATATCCTGTACGTAACATTTTAAAGCAGACAGTATTTGCTGAAAAGAACTGAACACCACAAAAGGGGAACACCTGAGAGGAAGAAAAGGTGCATTCAGAGTTGTCAGAAATTTTAAAGGCACAGTGTTTACCTGGGTAAATAACTGCCTTGTAGGGGTTCTGCTTTTGTTTTGGCAGAAAATTATTTATCCCACCTGTTATGACTTTTCAAATAATGACACTCTCCTGTATAAATATTTTGGCAGATGTACTGATCTGGAAAATTTGCATCACTTGGCCTGCAACTGACTATCATTGCAGCTGTAACAGGTGGATAACCTAATACTAACACATCTCAGGTATTTATTTCCAGATTAATCCATGTCAGCAGATTTGCATTATGACTTAGGTGTAATCACAGTGGGCAACAGTAGATAAGCTATGACATCCTTAAAGCTACTTTGAGGTCACAGTGCTTTCTCTATTTCATTCCTGATCTTGAGAACAGAGCGAGGCATACCTAACTACTAATATATACTAAATTACTGCACATTCCAATCTGCTTCATTTACCACCCTTACCATCAAGTAGGTGGAACAGAAATAATGATCTATTTGACCTTTGCTCAAGGGAGCAAGCAAGCAGACCCTTTTACATGTCTACACACACACACGAAACAATCAGAAAGTCAACAAGAGCTGTAAGGAAGATTCTAGTCTCACTTAGCTCTGTATACAAGGAGTCAGAGTCAGCATCCATCTCTGATATAGCCAAACTCCTCACCAAAAAGCCTTAATATACCTCCAAAGAATGATATATGAAATTTATTGAAATAAATAGGCTTGTCAAACTCCTCATAAAAGTTCAGGAGCACACATTTCTGTTATTTCTATCTAGAGTCCTTGCATATTTTCTTCAATGATAGTCACAGCAAATATGATTAAAATCTAATCAAGAATCTCTCAGATGAGAGGAAAAATGAAGAGCCCTTTTATTACTGGGTTACATTTATGCCCAGTTTACCTCAAGTGAAGAGTTTTGAAGTTTTCCAGTTAGGACTTCTTTCTCTTTCTCTAGTTGCTTTAGTTCACACTCTGAATTTCTTTTAAATTCCTCTAGCTGTGTCTGAAGCTCCTAAAGTTAAAAACAAACAAACAAACAAAAAGCATGCAATAGCCAGGACAAAACATGCAGCATGAAAAAGAACATTACTTCTATATTAACCTAGATAATAGAGCAGTTTACACAGTAATACTTGCTATTCTCTACTCAATACATGCTACTGTCTTTTAATGTCACCCATGTATTATTCAATCAAATAAGTATTAACAGTTTGTTCTGGTACTTTCTAATACTAGTGTTAGACAATACAGCTCACATAATCCTAATCTTCTACCGAAAGCTTCCCTGAGGTGGAAAACTGTACAGCATGAAGAGTCAGACTGTTTTGTTTTGAGTGGTGTTAGTGTTCAAAATAATTTAGCATGCAAGAGTCACCTGCAAGATCTGAAAACAACACAAATATACATGGACCATACAAATAGCCAGATTACTAACTACTGAGCAATTAGTGAAAAAGGGAATCAAAGGAGGCACTATCTTATAGCATCCATAAGGAAAATCCCAATGAGGCAGTAAAAATAATTTTAAGTATACCTGTACAAACTTATTCACATAAAAGAATACACTATATAAAAGGCAAAGTCCTTTCATAAGGCTTATACCTGATAGTGTAACTGCGTACCTTGAAGCACTGCAACTTCACATACTGATCAAATGTGAGCACTTTCACAATCAGATAAAATAATTTACTCACACAGGTTCCTTTTTGAGAAATGAGATTGCATAAATGTATAAACTCCAGCAGTTTCATAGGCAGAAATTAGTTCTTCTGACAAGCACTTGACACAATTCCTAGTCTCCAAAATCTAGAAGGTACTATGAAGCTCAGCATTTAGTGATAGGAGCTACACGCTTTTTATGACTTCACAACTTGTCAGCAAGCAATTTGATTATTCTCAAGTAAATGTTGAACTCAGAAAGGTATAGCAGCATTAAAACTGGGGAAAATGGGTAGAAGTACATTCTTCACATCAAGAAGGGTAAAAGAACACTTGACCTGATTGTGCAATTCTACAAAATGTTCTAATCAATTTATTTATTTTTTTTTTGTCTAGAAGATGTCTGACAAACACATCAGTACATTAGGAGACAGAAATTAAATTCCTCCTTCATTTATGCTCAAATTTGGCAAACCACTTGGGCATGCACTCAGTTGTAAGCTTCACTAAGCATTAAAGCATGTGCTTAAAACATGTTTCAAGGTTTTCCTCCATTTGAATAGATTTCAACTCACATTTGTTTTCCTACTGCACAGAAACATTACAGATTGCAAATTTCCTGAAGCCAAAGGATTCAGCCACAGACAACAGTTCTCCTGAAAGTGAAATTCTGTGAAGAACCTCTTAAGCCAATTACTGCTAACGCGTACCGAGAACAAAAATTACAGCTCAGCCCCTCAAACCACATTGAGAGAAGGTATTACTCAGGCAACGTGTCTGGATCCATGCAAAGGTAAGTATTCTTTCTGATTAAAGCTAAATAAGGACATAGATATGCATGTATTTGCTCGTAACTAGTCATCGTTTCATTGGTGACACCTCCACTCTGAATCCATTTACCAACACTTTGCAGAATCAGATCCTCCGCCTAAACAATGCAAAATTTTGATTACATCAATGTATCTGATTATTTCACAGCAGCAATACATGGAAACTTAAGTCAGAAATTGGAATACACCTACGATACATTTTTCTTCAGGACGGACCTTGTATTAATCACTCCAACCGTCACATGCAAAGCATGCAAGGATAAGTGTTGCTAAGAAGGCAGTTTATCACATGAAGGCTAAATTCACCTTCCTGCCTGTGGAGCTTTTCACAGAAATACATCAGTTTGATTTTTTTTTTTTTCAGTAAGACCGTAGCGAGAAAATCCTTGCGTTTTATGTTAATTCAAAGTGCCTCCAGTGAGGATAATTCAAATGATGTCACTGTGACCAATAAGATTAAAACCAGATGAATTAGAGCATCTATAAATAGAAGCACATTCCTACCTTCTGCATTTTTTTCTTTAAGCTTCCATGAAGTTTTAGACTGGCTTGATTTCCTTTGTATGCTTCATTACAAGATCTTCCAGACCCTTTCACAGCTATTCCTTCAGACAAATCTTTTCCTTATGGGACTGATGCTTGCTTTACAAAGCAAGTTCTCTGTGTCTTTTATTCATACCCTCTTTTTAAATAGGTACAGTTTACATAGTCTATAAAACACACTAGCTATTCAATATGAGAAAACCAGGGTAGAATTCTAGGGTCACAGTAGTCTATTTTGTAGTGAATACGCTATTTAAGTGGATATACTCCATTGACAAATACTGGCTTTATTTTAATTAACAATGTAGAACTGCAGTGATTCAGGGCTGTATGCCTCTTCTGCAGTCTAGGAATGTGGGGGTTTTGCTGTTCTGACTTGCGTTTGGGTGTGTAACTCACTGCCAACCATGCAGGCTTCCTCAAGGACAACCTTAGTTCTGTGAAAAAGTACAAAGGACAATTTGTTTTTTCTTATGTCTCTGATGTCAGGTCTAATTTTCCAGAATGCTAGCATAACAATGTTCTAGGAGAACAAAAAATATTGAAAAGATTCAACACTAGACAATTGTTTAAGGGGAGACATTGTACAGAGGGAACTCTCAGGATACATACGTTCCTCATTGTACTGAGTTTATTCCTGGTATTATTTCTGCATAGCATCTCAGAAGAACTGTTTTCTATATTAAAAAAAAAAATATATCAGTATTCCAATTTGACCTTAACAGAGAAAGTATGCCTTGGACCTTTTTTCTTTAATGTTTTAGTTACAGAAGTTGAATAGTCTTCCTTGTTCTAGCCCAAGGATGTCAGCAGTTTCTTTGCTGTCATTGCAGCAACTCAGGTACTTCCTATTATGAACATGAGTCAGTGTTCCACTGGTCATAAATCTGGAAATTTTACAGTATTGACTGCTGTAGAATAACTCCAAATCCATTAATCTTAAAAGAAAATTGACATTGATTTCAGTACTTTTGGCATGACATGCCTTTGAATATTTGAGAGCAAACCACCTGT